TTCTATGCGAGAGAATTTCATGAGCAATTCTTCGCATAGTCATACCACTCCGGCTCAAACGTTGGCTCGAACTCGAGAAGAATTGCAGAAGAATTCGGCGGCCCCGTTGTTCTCGAAATCGACGTCTTCCTCGGATCAGGTCCATAAGAATCAACGACCGAGCTCGGTGGCGTCGTCGAGATCGCTTGTCGAGCATCGGGCTTCCAGACTCATTAATCATCACAGTTGAGATCCCCCTATGCCATTCATTGATCAAGCTGGTTGGAATATTGATTGTTTGTGTGTATGATTTTTTGATATGTAGTTCCGCCGTTACCACTCATTCGATCCGATCTTCTTCCCACCACCACCTCATCTTCGCCATCATCACTCAGAGCCGTCCAGCCGCAGCACAACCATCCCCGCGGAAACAGTCCGGCATCCTCCAGTTCTGGCTCGGGCTCCGGCTCGGGATCAGGCTCTGGGCGCTCCTGGAATTTCCCCGTCACCCCGCGTGACTCATTGGCTCCTCATACTTCCCTCTCTCATCCTCCTTCCTTCTTATCTTCTCCTTCTGCTTCTTCTTCTGTTCACAATAATCATCTTAGTCTTAATCTTCAGGCCTTGGGCTGTCTACCCCCTCATACTACCAGTCTTCTTTCTAATAATCATCATCAGCAGCAGCAGCAACAACAACAACAAGTTGGGTTAGGGTCTGGATCTGGATCGGCAATCAATGAATCTGAATCTCCTACTAATCCTACTACTAAGGTCACTCTTTCAGGTAGTCTTACAAAGGTTTGTCCTCTTTCTTTCTTTCTTTTTTTTGTTGTTTCGAGTGGCGGTTAACAATAGTTGGGGACGGTTTAGTCGACCAGCGGCGATTTGTCAACAGCGGCTGGGGGCCTAGACGGGGCCGGAGAAGCGGCGATTGCGGGCAGGATCGACGAGCTCGGCGTGCCGGCTGGTGTGGATGGATTGCTTTATGCTGGCTTGGCCCCCGAACAGAAAATCGTCTTGCATCAACGCAGTCAGTTGATCATGCAAGTTGAGTCGACCTCTTTTTTTTTTCCAACGATCAACATGGATATGAAGTTGATTGATTGATTGATTGATTTGGGTGTTTGTAGATGATGGCCGCTCAAGCTCAAACGGCCGCTCAAATGCATGCGCTCTCGTTGGCCAATAGTTCTAATCACTCTCATCCTTCGTCAGCTTCTGTTGCGTCAGCTTCTTCGACCATCGGCGGACCTTCATCATCCGAGGCGCATAATCACGCCCATCTTCTTATGAACCCGTTCTTGTTCCATCATCATCAACCGAATCAGCATATGTTTAGTATCTTGCCCGAGTCCTCCGATTCGTCGGCCTCTGCCGAGTCTTCTGTCGGAGTTCATTTCCTGAACCATTCCAATCCTCCGGTTCCGCATCAGCTTCATCCTCTCCAGCTTCACCATCTCCAACATCTCCAACAGCTCCCAACAGCTCCAACAATTCCAACAGTTCCAGCAACTCCAGCAATTCCAGCCACAAGAACAACTCCAACCCCTCCCTCATCCTGCCCATCACAAACTGACCAATCATACTCATCTGCTGCCCTATCAGAACCAACACTTGCTCATCAGTCCCAACAAGGATACCGACAGTCCACTTGTCGTCAAGAACTCGTCGGCGTCCTAGAAACAGAACTCCTCCTTTTGCTTCTGCTTCTGTTTCTTCTGTTTCTTTTTTCGGATGGCTCATCTTGGTTCTGGTGGCTATTGGTCCTCCGTTCTTCCCCGTCTTTGGGTCCCACTTCGACTCTCTCTCTCTCTTGCTCTCAATGTCTTCCCTCAATTTTCCGTCTTACTCTCTTTTTTTTTCATCACTAATCTTTGTCACTCTGAATCATCATCCATACAATACACGTCCTTAATGTCCATTCTTAGCCTCTTCTTCTTCCTTTTCTTTTTTTCTCTTTCTGTCTGACTTTCTTTTTTACTCTGTTTTTTGTTTTTGTTTGATGGTTGTGTTTACTTTCTCGCTTGTAGAACTCGATTTATTCTTTATGATTTATGATTTATATTAATATCTTGTCTCTTCAGACACCCCTTTTTTTCTATATATATGTGTGTGTTCCACCATGTATATTCTCATTGATATACATATATATATATATTTATTTGAGTTTTTTTTTGTTTTTTTTTAGAAAAACAGAAAAAACATTGAAAAAAAAGGTGGATTCAATGGTGGGCCAGTTACACTAACTGTAGTGTTAGCGTAGTGTTAGTGTAGCGGACTTCTGCCACACTTTAGCTTAGCGTAGTGGAATTCCGCCACATCTGCACTAACACTGTGCACATAGGCCCCAAAAAAGGTCCCACTTATATGCTACGCTAACACACTGGTTATAAGTGGTTTTTTGGACCTGTAGCGCAGGGTAGCATAGCAAAAATTTGCAAAAAAGAACACTAACACTACAAATTTTTGGCGCCAAAAAAGCGCTGCTAAGCTATGCTTTTTGGGCCAAACCCACTTCTGGTTGACATCTCTTTTTTGGATTTTGTGGGTTTCCCTTTTTTTTTCTTCTTCTTCTTTGTGTGTGTGTGTGTGTGTAGTTTCATGAGCTGATGTGTTTTGAGGATGAGGGTGATGATTTTATTGGAAAAAAAAACACTGCAGTTCTATTTTCTAAGCTGGTGTCTGGCGAGTCTATGGGGTACAAGACTGTGTCAACTACTCTACTTATCCACTGTATTCATACCATTAACAATACTATAATTAATCTTCAACTAATTTTGTGAAAGCTTAAAAATAAGTATTGTTAGCCGGTTTGCCTTTTGGGAAAAATAACTCAACCCAGACGAGTCATGGTACCCTGGATGCCTATTGATAGCTTGTATATTTGGTACGGATGGGCTTGATACAGCAAGCCTCTCAGGAAAGACTATGCTGGTAGAGTGAAACCGCCTCTTTAGTACAGGAGTCAGGACAGGACACAGGTATTAACACCCACAACCTACTACTCACCACTCACTCAACACTCATCGTTATATCAACCATCTGCAGTAAATCCTTCAGGTTACATAGTTCCCCAGAGGCTGATAGTATTTCACAGACAGAAAAACAAAAGATATGTAAGTGATAATCAGTTTTGTATAAAACTTTAACAGATATGTATCTAATTGATAAGTAATTAAAATATAATGGAATTTCATATTTAATTGGGATGAATAAGATAAAATATGACAAGATAAAGAAAGGTAAGATAAGATTAAAAACAATATAAAAAGAGGTCAAGGTAAACAACATTATTGATATGTACAGCTGTTGCAGTTACTTGAATGGTACTTTGACATGAAATCTGTGGCTGACACACTACAATAGGCTCACACACATTGGTTATCAGCACTAGTGGCCTGTCAGCCTTAGATCCAGCCAAGCTGGCCAAAAGACTGCTGAAGTCCTCCTTGTCAGCTATGTTCCTACTGTAAGTTTTCTATCTCAAGATTTTATTACATTCTGACTTCTGGAATGAACTCCTCATGTGATTTCAACCTTAGTCACCACTACACACTTTTACACTACTCTTCTCCTTCATTGACTTTGTAATATTTCACCGTACCTTGTGAAATATCAAACAAGTTGGAATTCCAACTCTCTACCACAAGTACATGTTGTGATTATGTAATCCAACTCTGAAAGTTCTCTCAGTGGATACTGAGCTCAAATTTTCAGGCTCTTCAGACTCCATACCAACACAGAACACCAACAACCAGACCCAGATCAAGCTACAACTTATCAACCAAAAAGTACTCCACTTTTCCTACCTTTCCCACTACTCAGTGTCATTGGTATCATTAGTAAGTAAATTCTCTTAAGTTAAGCTTGCATATTTCTGCTTGTTCCTCTTCCCTGTCTCTCTCAACCTCTCTTCATTCTTCTCCAAACCAAAGCCCTGATCCAAGAAATCAAGCCATAGCTTCTATTATTACAACTCATCCTGTTTGGTAGTACAACTGAAAACTACATAGGTTTCCCTTCAAAGAACCTTGATCATCAATCTAAAAAATTGTGGTTGATCTGATTTATCAGCATCAATATCCCATTTCAGTTTCTGTTGATTTGGAGGTATAGAGTTAGCTCTTCTTATAATGGCCATCCTTAAAGGAAAGTAAGACTGCAAGAACTTTAAAATAAATAAAGAACAAACATATTATCTATTTGCTTTCTCTTCTCTTCTTCCTTTCCTCTACTTTTATTTGAATCTCTTTTCTTTTAAGAAATACATCTAAAAGTGCCCCCCCCCCAAACCTTGTGTCCTGCTGTCACTATTGAGACCCAGGCTCACAGGCCAAATAGTACAGCGTAGACTAGTGGCCCACTGTTTCCCATACACATATTTCAAATCCTTTGTCCCTGCTGTGCAGCTACATGAGCCTATGACCAATACACATTGGTCATCAAGAAAAAATATGTATTTATCTTGATTGCAGGTCTGCACATTCATCAAGCGTACATTCAGAGCTGGGGATATGTTGGGAGGGTCCCCAAGAGGTACTCCCAACTTTCAAATTTTCCAGTCAATCAACCCAAGCCCCTAAATAGAAGCAGTGTCTGAAAGGGGAGTTCATGAATCCCACTCCTCTCCCAGGTTCCAGAACTGACAGTGTTGGATATCACCACAGAAAATCATGAGACTTTTCAAGTAAAAATTGGAGTATATTCAATTGACTTGGATATGTATTTCCTGTGATTTTTGATTTGATATTGGGGTTCATATTAATATAAATAGCCTTTTGAAAGACTATCTGAAATAAGGCTGCAGTGCAGGACTGCTGATCAAAGCTTGAATTTTGGATGAAAGATGTGCATCCAAGTTCATGCAAGAAATCCCCAAGAAATCAGGGGTCTGATCAGAACCAAGAATTATTGTTATAGCAAACCCACCAATATATTTTGCAGGAAGCCATAGCTTTAGTACTCCCAAGAGATGTATTGGCTCCTGAACCAATTATGTACAGTGGGTATAGACAGTTAAAATTGGCTGCTTATTTTGGGTTCCAGAGCTCCAAAACACTGACTTGAAGTCATAAGACTTGGTCAAGTGGTGCAGAATAGGTTCCAAAAAATGAATATGAAAAAAAAAGTGGCAAAATTTGTGAAAAAGAAAAGTTTTTTCTCAAAAGCTTTGAAATTCATTTTGGGGGAGTGAAGAGTGCTGAGAGAAAGGATCAAGATTGGGATCTTAGAAGAATGATTATAAATGCAAAACTTTGGAAAAATTGGTTTCCAGATGGCTTCAAACAGTGTTTTATAAGTGGGGCATTCACCAGCCCATGTTGCAGTATAAAGCACTAGAATTCACTGTTTTGGCTCCAATCTGGATAACCAACCTGGCCAAAGCTTTTTTGGTTCCAATTTTTTTCATTTATAATTGTTCTTCTCATGTCCCATTCTTTATTTCTCTCAGCACTCCCACTGCCCCTAAAATGAAAATCAAAGCTTTTGAAAAAAAAATCAATTTCAATTTTAATTTTTCACAAATTTTGAAACTTTATTTTATTTTTTGTTTTTATTATTTCATATTCATTTTTTGGGACCTATTATGCATCACCTAGAGATGGCCGCGGGGTATCCGTTGCGGATACCCGCTATCCCCTGGCGGATACCCGCCAGCGCCAGCGGATACCCGCCAGGGGATACGGATTGGGGTTCGGATGTGCCCTTTTCCCAGAAATTTGGGCGGGTATCCGGGTATCCCAAAGGATACCCGAGGCCAGAAGGGGGGATGTCCGGCTGGAAGGAAACCCTTCCAGCCGGTCCCTTGCCGGCCGTTTAAAGGGCGGGTATCCGAGGATACCCGCTCGGATACCCGCTGCGGCCGACGGATACCCGCCAGCGGGTTCGGATGCGGATGCGGATGGCTATTTTGCCTGAAAAAGCAGCCGGATATCCGCATCCGCGCGGATATCCGGATGCAAATTGACCATCTCTAGCACCACCTGACCTAGTCTCATGACTTCAGGTTTGATTTGAGGAGCTTGGGAATCCAAAATAACCAGCCCCTTTTCACTGTCTACCCACTGTAAAGCTTATTTTTCAAGTTTTGGAACTAGTCAGTCAGTTGTATGGACCTATCATTGTGATGTGGCAAGCTCATTATGAAAGTAAAGCAATTATGTAATTTCATTATGTATACAAAACTACAAACTGTAACTCATTATGAAAGTAAAGCAATTATGTAATTTCATTATGTATACAAAACCACAAACTGTAACATGTATAGTAATCATTTGAAACAAATGATTGGAATTTCGAAAACTCAACTTATCAAATATATGGGGACTATTGTTGAGAATTTCTGCTGGGAAAAAAGAAATTCAATACCTACCTTTCTCTATTTCCAGCTTCATTAATTTGTAAATCATTTGATGTTTTCAAGCATGAATTTCTCTGGTGGATTTATCCAAGCATTGATAATTGCTACATACCTCTCACAAGAAACCCATGGCATGCATACTCCTCCAGAAAGTGACAACAAAAGTCTTGTAAAGGGTAAAAACCTGGTCTCAATTCTTTTTCAACCCTTAGTCTTCATGATTAAGGATACTGATAGTTGTTGAAATTCATTACAGCTTCCTTTCACGTTTTTATGGAACAAGAACCTCAAACATTTCCGGATATGCAAATGACACAACCACCTAGTAAGGGGTAATTTTGCCAGCTTCCATTGCAATTACAAACAACACTGGGTCTATACTTTACGGTTATTGGTATAGTATTGTTATAGTATATATATTTCCAACTTTACTATAAAGGGTGTGGTTATAGTCTGATTTTCAGGGCCCTTTACTATAACTGAGGAGAACAGGAAATTCTTTTGGGTGATATACTCTACTATAACCTGCCCTGGATGCTGCTAAAAACATCTAAAGCTACTTGTGAGAGTCTCTTGACCATAGAAGGGCCCTCTGGAGTTCATAGATACACTTCATGGTTGATAAAGACAAGGCGCTTGCAATATAGGTGAATTTTGGAGCCACAAAAAGTGGCCTATACTATACCAAGCTTGGTGGGAAACACACTGGTTATAGTATTGGTATAGATAGAAATTTGAGGAAACTTTACTATACTGAAAAGGGTCAGTTATAGTAAAGTATAGTATAGACCCAGTGCTGTTACAAACTGATG